ATCGACCTGCTGTATGGGGGAATTTACTGCTTTATGTGCCAAGACTACATTTATGACAAAGAGATGGAGCAGATTGCCAAAGAGGAGCAGAGAAAAGCCTGGAAGATGCAAGGTACAACTGCGCTAAACTTTGTGGCCTACATGCAAAATGCTATGGGTGCACATCGCCATGATGAAACATGGTGGTGGCAGCATTATGCCGTGAGGATGCTTTTCTTAATTAGGTAATCTGGTCAGCATTGATTGGGGAAAAGGATGGAGCAAAACAGAGGGCAATCCTGGAAGGAAAAGTGTTAGAGGCTGGAGACTGGGGTCTGGGGCCATCTTCCAGCACAACAATGACCCTAAACATACACCCAGAGCTACAATGGGATGGTTTAGTTAAAAACATATTCATGTCTTAGAATGGCCTAGTCAAATTCCAGACCTAAGTACAATTGAGAATCTGTGCCAAGACTTGAAAATTGCTATTCACCCATGCTCTTCATCTGGCTGAGCTTAAGCCATTAGCAAAAAACAAAGAGCAAGATTTTCAGTCTCTTTATGCTCAAAGCTGGTAGAGACGTAGTCCGAAACAAAACTAGCAGCGGTACTTGCTGCAAAATGTGGCTCTATTAAGTCTTTACTGTAGAGGGCTGAATACAAAGGCACCATATTAAACAGGTTTTACCTCATAGTTTCCTTTCTCGGCTGACTGAAAGAGTTTTTCCTTCTTTTCAGAGTTGTCTAACACTGTTTCTAGGTGCTATTCAAATAAGCCTGCCTCCACTATTTCTAAAATAAAAGCAAATTAGGTAAACATGCAAATTTAGTTTCAAACGCTTTTCCATTTGTACTTCAGGCATCGGAGAAAAGTACTCGACCTGGGAGCCTACCAAGAGGGAACTGGAGCTGCTTCGCCACAATCCCAAGAGGAGGAGAATCACCTCCAACTGTACAATTGGTTGGTGCCTCTGCGCTCACAGAACACATACGCACCAATATCGGAGCTGTTTCTGTTATTTTGAGGAGGAAAGAGTAGATATGTTTTATTTGGGATTTTGCAGTATTGGTCTGACAGAATTGGCAGTTAGACCTGATGGATCGAGCAGTTCCACTGATGCATTCAATGAATTAGACCGTTAGACAATGCATTTGTAGAACAATGGCGTATCTGAGGCATTCTATTGTGTTAAGGCTATAATTACACTGTAGCTCCAGGGAATGTTGGAGTGAAGCAGTGTGGAGGTGTCCGGCTGTGTGCAGTGCTGACGGGTCTTGGCATACCTTTTAACACCTTGTAGCAGCCTGCAGTGATCTGTCCAGCACCATTAACATCGTTGGCACAGTTATAGGATGGGATTTACAGGCCTGGCTGCTCATCAGTGAAATCGCTACCTCCTCCTCTCCTGATTTCCACTCCGACTCCCCTCATCTCGGTCAGCGAGTGGTCGGCTCATCGGGGAAAAGGCTTTGTCCTTTTGTCATTGCAGATACACACAGCGCCTTTCAAGTCAAACACAAAGTTTGTGCTTAATTGTGCACTGAATAAAAATGGTTTTATTTATTTTTAAATAAAGTGTGGCATGCATACCACATGATTTGATTACAATTCAGATGGCTGTAATGCTGTTTTAAGTTGATAATTGATGTACCATGACATTTGTATAGAAATTTGTTGCTGCTCTGATGGAGGAAACGGTAGACGAAATAGTAAAAGTAATAATCCAAATGATAATTTTAGTCTTTGGGTTTTGTAAATGAATATATATCATCATGTGTAGTTTATTGTTGTCACCATGAATCTTAAATTCTATAACGACAAAAAGAATTTCATGACTTAGTTTGCAGCTGTACTCTTTCTGTTTTATTTGATGTTCAAAGCTTGCTGTGTTCCTTGGTTTTTATGATGATAACAAACCTCTGAGGCCTTCACAGAACGGCTGGATTTTTGCTGAGATCAAATTAAACACAGTTGGTATATGCAGTTAGTTGTCCTGGATTTTGTTTTGGGATATCGGTGTAAAAGGGGCTAAATACAAATCCACACAAAGGTTTGAGATCTTTATTTATAAAATGTTTTGGAAAAACACCAAAAAAATCCCAATTAAATTCATAGAAGTTTGTGTTTGTAATTGAACAAATGCCGAAAGGTTAAAGGGGCGTGAATACTTAAGGGGTTGTATGCGTGTTTTGGAATCATCTTAATTCCTCCATCTCTTTTGGTCCCTTTGTTTTGTTTCTAATATTAATTAATGCCATTCCCTCTCAGGCCTGCGCGGTCTGATAAACCTGGGCAACACCTGCTTCATGAACTGCATCGTCCAAGCGCTGACTCACACTCCACTGCTGCGTGACTTCTTCCTGTCCGACCGACACAAATGCGAGATGCAGAGCAACTCATGTCTCGTGTGTGAGATGTCACAACTCTTCCAGGAGGTGACTTGTCTTTTTAATTTTTTTTTTCTCCAAGTGGCTTATCCGGAGGAAAGTTTACTCTCATTTCCTCCTCCTCCAGTTCTACTCAGGCCACCGCTCCCCTCACATCCCGTTCCGTCTCCTGCACCTGGTGTGGACCCACGCCCGACACCTAGCCGGCTACGAGCAGCAGGACGCCCACGAGTTCCTCATCGCAGCGCTGGACGTGCTGCACCGACACTGCAAAGGTGAAACACAGAGATGCCCTTCAGGTAGACCGGAGGTTGCATGAGTGAAGCAGAGAGGATAAAACAAGACAAAAGCGGTTCACTGATTGACATTCTGTCAGATCTCTCTGTCACTTTTATCAGCTTACAAGCTGAGTGGGTGGTTGGGAAGTTACCCAGGATGGCTCTTAGCGACAGTTAACATTTCCGTTGAATACGTGTGTCTGTGTGTCCCTACAGACGACAACGGGAAGAAAGCCAACAACCCAAACCACTGTAACTGCATCATTGACCAAATCTTCACAGGAGGTCTGCAGTCTGACGTCACCTGCCAAGTGTGCCAGTAAGTGTGTGTGTTTGAGTAAAAACATGAAGCCCAGTCGAGCCTCACCGGAGGGAAGAGACAAAACCATGAAAAGAAGAAGCTGTGACTATGCATTTGGAATAAAACTGTAATTCTTGTCACCTTGTGATCCACCCTGAGCTCCACTGTCCTTTATTACTTACACATCTGCACTCAGCTGCTACAACAAACCTGCATGCCTAAAACGTTGTACTCTAGCTCCACCTGGTGGATTCTCGAGACTACTGAAGCTTTGAACTTCCCCCAAGTTCTCTCCTTTTTAATTAGGGTTTACCGAAAGGTTGTAGAAGTATGCTTAAAAAATGATGGGGAAAAGAGGAACCAAGCTGAAATGAGAATCCAGTTATGTTTAATGAAGCTTTGGTGTTGCTTTGCTGGACTGAAACTCCAAATGTTCTAAAGATTTTCAACAGAAAACACTAAAAGCCTTTTTTTTTTTTTTTTTTTTTCAAATAAGCTGTACTGTCTTACTGACCTCTCCCATTCAGTGATACAAGCGTGACATTCAAGGAGTCGGCATCGAAAGGTTCTTTTAGTAAAGGGTAGTTCAGGATTAATAAAGGAACAGGTTAAAATGGAGCTGTGAGATAAATGCAGTGGTGTGCATAAATCAGCAAGAGAAAAGGTACAACATTTTCAACAATTTAATTTGTTAGAGATTTTATTTATGAAACATGTACTTGATACACTATTAAACATCTGATTTATTTAATAAATGGAAATCTAAACCAGAGCTGCACAGTATATCGCAATGCACAGTTTGGAGGCGTTATTGGTAGGATTTCAGATGTCATGCTTTCTCACATTGTTGTTCGTTAATACATCGGGTAAAATGCGTCATCAATACTGTATGGGTAATAAAATGGAATGACAGCGAAAAAATATTGAACATATGAAGAAACTGAAGTGAAAAAGGCATGGAAAGTCACGACACCAGCTGGAATGTATCAGAAATTAGAAACTAAACCTTCCACTTAGTGCAAATTATCATCAGCTGCTTCAGTCTGAACTGATGGCTGATTAAAAAACGTCTTATTACCAAGGGGATGCTTCCTCTGGACCGACAGGTGTCAAAACGATGTACCCTGGCTAGGCCAATGTGTTTTTAACCTTGAAAAGGGTGAAGTTATTTATAACTAACTAGTTCTTGAATGAGTAATATATTAACTTTTAAGTAGCTTATGAAGTTAACTTATTTTTTGGGATTTTATCTTGGTTTTAAATTTAAATTGAACTCTATGAAACTTACAGGACCATCTAGCAGCCACCAGGGGGCACTTTATAAACCTGGAATAACCTCAAACACTGGCTCGTGCGGTCATTAACGTTTTAGATTTTAAATATTCTTGATTTTAATAATTCATTGTTACTGTCCAGTTTTTTGATTTACTTACAATTTATAAACTGCTAACAGCAGTCGGATTTGTATCTCTTTCTAGATTTACCCAGATTTTCTCGGATGAAGCAGAACTGAAAATAATTCTGGACATATTTTTACATAAATACTTACAGCTGATCATTTGGGAATGTGTTTTTCCTTCAAGCCCATAGGTCAAGAAAGAAATAGCAACTGTAAAAGAGCTGCAAGCATGCTCTGCTGGAAAGCCTTGATGTTTATATCTGAAGAACACTAGTAGTGGTGCCCCTGCAGAGAAGATCTTTTGAATTCACATTATCTAAAAAGGTGATTCTTGTTCTTAAAGGGTACTTATTTATCAGGACATAGTAAAAATTATCTGACCTTTATCTGCTTCTAAAATTAATTACATCTTTCTTGATGTGTGTATAAAGATGCAAAAGGTTTGCAAATTGGATCTGAAAAAAGAAAACTTCTGAAACAATATCCTTTTGGGCAGAGGAGACCAGGGTAGATATGTTAGATTATAATAGTCGCACACAACACCACTGCATAGAGAAAACCCATATAGAGATAGAAATCTAACGGTGATGTTTTTGGACAGTGGAAGGAAGCTGGAGTACTTGGTGAGAACCCATGCATGCACAGGGAGAACATGCAAACTCCAGGCCGGGATTTGAACCCAGGACCTTTTTTGTTGTGTCACCAACTGCACCACCATGCAGCCTATCAACAGGATAATGATTGCAAACAACATAATCGATAAAAAAGATTTGATTGCAGTTGCTCAGTCAGATTTAAGACGTCAAGCCGATGGAAAGGCAGTGGTGGGACCTGGAGAGAGTTGTGCCGAAGCAAATGTTTGAATTTCTTTTTTTTGGTTGGTTGTTTTTTTTTGTTTTGTTTTTTTTTTTATCCTGGTGCTTAAAACCCTAGTGTTCAAAAAGAGGTTTAGTTTCTTGTGTCGTTTTGGTTAAGGTAACAAAAAAGAAACACCCACAGTCTCTGTCAGATATATTTGAGCCCATTCCTTCACTTGCATTCATAGTTAAAAGGTTGATGATTACATAAGCCTCAGAGGAATCCTTCTTGCCTACATTAACATTATACTACAGAGCTGCTAAATCTGTATACAGCCAGAATAAGCATTTAGCTTCGGGTAATAGTCTAAAAGAGACAACTGTTTTATTTTTATTGGGGTGTAGATGATGGTAAATTGATCTGAAAAGTTGCTACATCCGAACACAACATGTTTTTCTGTCGTGAATGGTCAGTAATTATTCGTAACAGCTTAAAAATAGTAGTTGTGTAATAGTGTAAAGCTCTATGTTTATTGTTACTGTAACAATTTGCGATAACTTTCCTGTTTATCTCAGATTTTCTCCTTTTCAACATTAAAATGTCTCCAAAGAAAGTGATTCTGAGCAGTGGAGAACTCACTCCGCAGCAGCCGATGCTCCACTGACATCTGGCTTCTGTAACCAACTCCGCTCGAATATTTGCTCTTTAAGTAATCTGAGAAATCAAAATAACACATCTATTGATATATTGGAAACATTTTTATGCGATTAATATGCATATATTGTGTGACACATTATTCGTTCAGGACCAAACAGTCTGGATCAGTGGTTTAAGGGCAATATCGGATCAGTATCAAGTCCGATACTAATATTGGATCAGATGCACACCCCTGCTTCTGCTCAGTCAGTTTTACTTATTTTGTACCTTTGCTATATTACATAACCAAAGGGTTCTTATGTTGTAAATACTAATTAAAAATTTGTAAATGTCTAGATGTCATTCTCTGTGAAATCACAGGCTCTGTGTCCTTTTCCTTGACATCTTTTCAATTCCTCTATTGTATCTTTAGTGGTGTTTCAACGACCATAGATCCTTTCTGGGACATCAGCCTGGACCTACCTGGATCCTCCACGCCTTTCTGGCCCCTCAGCCCCGGAGGAGATGTATCAGCACTTAATGGCGACAGTCACACCACTGGAGCCACAACCCTCATGGACTGTCTGCGCAGGTAATCCTCGCACCTTCCAAAGTGTTGGCCTCCGAATCCTTTGAAGCGTAGATGGTTGTGCAGATTAGGAAGAGAACATATTCTCACTGTTCAGGTTCACCAGACCGGAGCACCTTGGCAGCAGTGCCAAGATCAAATGCAGCGGTTGCCATAGTTACCAGGAGTCCACCAAGCAGCTAACCATGAAGAAGCTGCCCATTGTGGCCTGCTTTCACCTTAAAGTAAAACAACAATGTTTGACCCTTAAATGATCATGTGGATGACCCCAGCTAAGATCTAATACTCTTTTGTTTTGTTTTGTTTTTGTGTGTGTGTGTGTGTGTCAGAGGTTTGAGCATTCAGCCAAACTACGGAGCAAGATCTCTACTTATGTCTCATTCCCACTAGAGCTGGACATGACCCCCTTCATGGCCTCCAGGTGAGCCAAATTTAAAAGAAGACCCATTGATCTAGAAGATGAGTGGAAACAGATTCCAAGTGTAGACCAAACTCAGCAGTTTAGATTAAGTTTGTGTAGTGGAAAGGAACACTGTAAAACCAACCCGAACGTACTTTTTCATACATAGATGTCAATACTTCACTGTCTTTACCCAGAATGTTGAAATGATTTAGGAGCATTTAAGCCCCAGACAACATAGCCTCTGGGATCATTCAAGCACTCAAATCCCTCCAGCATGTTAAGGTGGCAGGCCATCCTCTTCTACTCTGCAGTGGCCCACCTCTCCAGAGTGCCCGTCTCGTGTTGGGGTTTACCCCAGTCTATGAGAGGATCGCATCCCTGCGTCTTCGGGTTGGGGACAGATCTCTGTTGTTTGGCATACGGGCCAAGCAGTAGTGCGGAGTACCCGGCCTTTTTGGCGTCCCTGTTGGGGGTGCTGCAAAGTGCCCCTCCTGGGGACTCCATTATTCTGCTGGGAGACTTCAATGCCCACGTGGAAAATGGCAGTGACAACTGGAGAGGCGTGATTGGGAGGAATGGCCTCCCCGATCTGAATCCGAGTGGTGTTTCATTATTGGACTTCTGTGTTAGTCATGGACTGTCCATAATGAACACCATGTTCAAGTATAAGGGTGTTCATCAGTGCACTTGGCACCAGGACACCCTAGGCAGGAGGTCGATGATTGACTTTGTTGTCGTGTCTTCAGACCTTTGGCCGCATATTTTGGACACTCGGGTGAAGAGAGGAGCTGAGCTTTCCACTGATCACCACTTGGTCGTGAGTTGGATCCTCTGGAAGAGGAGAAGGCCGGACAGACTTGGCAGCCCTAAGTGCATAGTGAGAGTCTGCTGGGAACGTCTGGCGGGAGAGCTTTGACCAGATTCCGGGGGAGGTTGGAGACATAGAGTCCGAGCGGACCATGTTCTCCGCATCTATTGTCGATGCTGCCGGTAGCTGTGGCCGTAAGGTCTGCCGTGCCTGTTGCGGCGGTAATCCCCGAACCAGGTGGACCATCCCCGAACCCAGTGGACCAAGTGGACCATGTTCTCCGCATCTATAGTCGATGCTGCCTGTAGCTATGGCCATAAGGTCTGCCATGCCTGTTGCGGCAGCAATCCCCGAACCCAGTGGTGGACACCGGCAGGGACGCTGTCAAGCTGAAGAAGGAGTCCTATCAGCTGTGGCTGGCTTGTGGGACTCCTGAGGCGGGTACCATGATGCCAAGCATGCCGTGGCCTGGGCTGTGGCAGAGGCAAAATCTCGGGCATGGGAGTAGTTCGGTGAGGTCATGGAGGAGGACTACCGGTTGGCCTCGAAGCGATTCTGGCAAACTGTCCGGCACCTCAGGCGGGGGAAGCAGTGCTTCGCCAACACCGTTTACAGTGGGGGTTGGAGCTACTGACATTGACTGGAGACTCATCAGTCCTGCCGTCACGCATTCCCTGGTGGAAGCAGAGGCTGGGACTCGGGGTTGGACTCTTTCATCACCCAGGCTGAAGTCACTGAGGTGGTTAAAAAGCTCCACAGTGGCAGGGCTTCGGGGGTGGATGAGATCTGCCCTGAGTACCTCAAGTCTCTCGATGTTGTGGGGCTGTCATGGTTGACACGCCTCTTCAACATTGCGTGGAGGTCAGGGATAGTGACTCTGGATTGGCAAACCGGGGTGGAGGTCCCCCTTCATAAGAAGGGTGACCGGAGGGTGTGTTCCAACTATAGGGGGATCACATTCCTCAGCCTCCCTGGTAAGGCCTACGCCAGGGTATTGGAGAGGAGAGTCCGGCCGATAGTCGAACCTCGGCTTCAGGAGGAGCAGTGTGGTTTTTGTCCTGGCCATGGAACACTGGAGCAGCTCTATGCCCTCTACAGGGTACTTGGGGGTTCATGGGAGTTTGCCCAACCGGTCTACATGTGTTTTGTGGAGCTGGAGAAGGCACTCGACTGTGTCCCTCGTAGTGCCCTGTGGGGAGTGC